AAGTTTCTTCGGAAATAATTTTTACGGAAAATTAACTAACGACCAGAGACGTAACACTGTGTATGCACCAAAATGCTTGTGCATTCATGCATGTGTTGGTTGCAGTGCCTCTAATAAACAACAAGTCGCAAAAGATTTAAACAAAAATATCACCAATATTGCATAATCCCATCTATTAATGCTGGTTCACTATGTGTTTCTAACAAAGCTAAATCCGAGTTTCGATTCCTCGAGGTGGATAGCCCATTGTATAACTTTGCGCTAAAAATATCAACAGCAATAGCAAAATATAAATTTCACGTAGTAAACAAATCTCTTGTTTACTACGTGAAATATCCACATTGAGTATTCTACGAGCATAAAAATAAAACTGCTCAGTACAAAGTAATATGTGGACTCCTTCTAAAAGTACATGCTCCCATTATTTATTTCAGAATATTCTTAGGCCCAACCTTTAAAAATCAGCTTTAAATGGCCAAGTTTAACAGTCCAGCCAATGTACCCTTGGTTTTCATATACATCTGCTCAAGAAAATTTCAGGAAATTTCACTGGAAATCCATTTTGCTCAAGGGGTCCAACATTGTCACTCGACATAAAATAATTAAAGCAATTTGGTTACAACTTGCAGATGTTACACCTCCTCTATAGAGAAGATACCTGAATGACAAAATAATGACAAAATTGTGCATATAGACGAAAAACAAGAATTAGATAAATGAATTCGATAAAATAAAAAAGTATGCAAATAAAACATTATGGTATTACAAGTCCTACGGTATTAATGAGTTTCTATAAGAAGTTATTTTTGATTAAAAAAACTAACTAACTAAAATTAACGTTATGTGGTACACAAAATGTTATTAGTTGTAAAATTTGGAATACAATTAAAAACAAGAATCATGACAATTTCAAACTTTTGTGCAATTCATAACAGATACCATAACTGATCACTGAAAAACATATAAAGACAGGATACACACCTCTTGTTAACAATCCATGAAAAAGTTTTGAATTATGGAGGAAGTTTGTTTGTAATTAAGCACAAAGCTACACAATGGGCTATCTGTGCTCTGCCCAACACGGGTATCGAAACCCGGATTCTAGCGTTGTAATTCCGCAGACATACCGCTGTGCCACTGGGGCTATGGAGGAGGTTCAAACTAGATATGTGGTAACAACAAAAGAGACAGTAGCAGGACCATAGCAATAGAGGTGCAAGGGGCGAATATCTCTAGGATCAATTGTTTAGTGAGCCGACCGAGGTCTACTTCTGGAACAAAAAAAATGTGAAAAATAGTAGAATATTGATATCTTCTTATGAGGGGACCCTAAGATTTCCTTACACCCAGGCTTTGAGATTTTTTGCTACAGCACTCAATAAAAGACTAAAAAACTGTAATAAATGTGGCCACTACAGACAAACAATTTTATATGTGAGGTAATCCATAGTGTGTTGTTACCAATGGATGTGTACACAATATGTGTATGAATTCTTACTCGAAATATTACTTTCAATTTTGCGATTGTAACTGGCAGGGACCATGTCATGTGATTTGGTGTCCAGTGGTTGTACTAAGCATGGCTGCATAATTACTATGTAAAACATCGCTCTGTAGCTCCTTAGAAGAAACACACTAGTCGTCATGACATTTACACAGGATAAAAAGAAAAAAACATATAAAACTCCAATAGCTAACACAATAATAAAACATCTGATAAATAACTAAACAAAATACAGAATTACTAAACTGATACAAACAGTAACTCAACACAAACTCAGGTAAACATAAATAATGAACTCAGCAAAATAAACAGAATTGCACAAAAATAGGCATAATGTAACTCAGAGATGAAATGAAAATGCAGCTAAGTCAAATAGTCATACATTAGCAACCATGTTTATATATTAAAAGTATTTTAACTCTGTACATATCTAGGATGATGTCTAGCCAAAGGCAACATTGGCATCAGCTGTGGCACAAACATCATAGAAGAATCAAAGAAACCCTGCCCATTCACTGGGAACCAATGAGGTTGTGTTGTGACATCAGGATGTGTTAGCTGCTGGTTTGCCCCTAGTGAAGCTCGAGCTCAGTATGAGACATTCACTGGAGTAGGAACCTCTGTTCGAGGCTTTTCCTCTCTTGCAACATGTATGAAGTCATAAATTCAAAACTTGTCTCCACAGAAACTGCTTACTTTAGAATGAGAGGATCTTTCACACCCTAATAATGCCTCATCATATTATTGGGAAGCTCCTCTATAAACTTACCGACGATAATTTCCTTATGAATTACAGATTTTGTACAGGGTATGCTTTCCTATGCAACCAGTGCAAATCATCCATGTAAGTGTATAAATATTCTAAGCGATCCTCTTTACAGCCTTTAATTCGGCTTGTTGGACAGCTCAGTCCTCCATTTGGTCAAAACTTTCCAAGAACTACATATAAGAGTTGCTTCATAGCATCAGGGGCTGGACAATTCAAACTCAGGATCAGGTGTCACATTTCTTGTCCCTGAAACCAGCAATTCCAGGAAGTAATCTGCCCGAAACACTTCAGTAGGTGGTCCTAGCCGTCTTTTGCCAAATCTTTAGACATTGGGGTGATATTTGTTGAGTCTCTATTACAGCTACATGTAGTTTTTGCATAAACCTCTAACCCACAAACTATCAGCCTATACTGAGTTAAGGTGTCCTAAACATTGGCTGCAGATGAGTGAGCTGACACAAGGAATTATACTCAGATAAATGTTGTATTAGTACCTTTGGTTTCCAGAACGGTCCAATAACTCGTCCATTCACGTTGCATGACCCTAGACGTCTCTGTGACCCGTTGCTGCCCTAGCAACAAGGTTCCCTGCTTCATCTTCAACAGTCCATGCCCACTGTCTTACCTGCTGGTGAAACAGCTCCTGCTAATAGATGTCATCCACTGGTATCTCCAGTCTTTCTCAGTTGATTGTGAATGATATCAACCAGATCCAGTGTTGAACTGCTATGACTCAAAAATGCCTGAGAGTCCTATAGAGACTGCCCCAGTTGGTCTTGGACCTAACAGAACACACACAAACGTGGTTATTTTCAATCATCTGTGCCTCCTGTGCACTAAGGTTAAGCTTCAGGAGAGAATATGATTGGCCATTCTGGGTGTGCCAGATTACAGTAGTTTTTCTTGCCAGGTCTACAGCCGCAGTGAGAACGTTGTCATGGACTTTTGCAGCATTGATAAAACTCCAGTGGTAAGGAAAGTGCTCTCACTAGACCAAACAAGTCTCTTTGACGACTGATGCTTCTCAGCACCTAACTCTTCCTCCTGGTTATGAGTCCTTTGTTTACGAAACATACCATTTTCTCAAATTCGAAACCTCAGCCCAATAACAAAAGAGATTGGAAAAGTACAAATAGATATACTAATCAAGAGAAAAACAGAGGATCTCCAAAAACAAATCGCGTATTTACAGCCACAAATATTATCCTTCTTATCCGCTCTGTGATATCCTCAGATTCACTAATTTACTTTTTGAGTAATCATGTAGTAGGCACAAAATTACTAGAGGTTCACAAGAAAATGTTTTATGGAAAAAAATGAGTTCCCTTAACCTTCTCCGAACTTGAATTAAAACAAAGACTGGACTCAATGTATCACACAGTGAAACAATCTTTATTTCCAACGCTCACAAACAACATCAATGGTATATTTATTTTATCACTTTTATTGGGAAGTTATCCATATGATGTGTCTTAAAGAAACTTTTTATCAATTGTTTAATTTTCAGTCCTCAAAATCTGTCCTAAATTCACAAAACATGGCGTTACACGGAAGAACTCAACGCCATTCTTCTCAGGATACAGACACCACCTGTGCTTATGACAGTCACTCTCACGCCATAATAAGGGATATTATATCATTGAGGCATCACCTGACTTGCCATCAGAAAGATTTCTATACAGTATGTGCTATATTACAATTATCTTTTCGACAAAAAAGCATGTGATACTCTATACTGAATGAC